TAAGGAATACTATCTGGCTCAGGTAGTGGTGGTAATATACGGTCCCCCCTGCAAAAATTCACGGGTAAGAAAGTCAGGCAACAAATTAGCAGAGCCGGGAAGATGTTCAATAGAAAAATCAAAAGCGGATAAGATCGCTTGGCAACGGGCAAATATTTGTTTTGAAACATTTTGCTTTTTATTTAATATGTCAAGAATTAGTAATCTCCTTACATTTACTGTCTATATAAACACTTGAATTTTAAGTACCTTGGGAAAGAATGCCATAAAAGGATCTTACTAGACAATCTCTCTCATTTTTGCTTCCCTAATCGCTTCATGCTATTGTATAAGGTTAATAATGTGAGAAATCTCTATATTTTATATACATTCATCTTGTGGGAAAGGTCCCATATATGTATAAAATGGTTGATGCATTATAGAACCTATGTAATATACAAAAAAGCAATGTAAATATCATAAAATATATACAGCCTGTATGATTAAGGAAAGAAATATAAAAGAAAGATATACATGCACACTTTTTATAATCACACACTCCCCTTCAAACTCGTGATGGTCGGAAGCGAAGCATTGAGAGTTTGAAGGTTGGAGAAATGAGAAGCATGATAGGACTTCATAAAGAATTCAACAAGCTATGTGGATGAAGAGATACATAGAAGACAAATTGTCTTGGTTAGATATTTTTGATGAACAAAATGACAATCCACTACAATATGCTTGGCATGCTCATGGAATCAAGGTTCTTAGTAATATAAATTGCACTTTTGTTATCATAATATAAAGTAGTAGGAGCACAAAGTTTCACACCCAATTAGCCAATAACTAGTGATCAGTCGTTGTTTGAGCCATGACACCATAACCAACGTCTATTGTGGACTTAGCAATATGTTGGTACTTTTTGTTCTTCCAAGAAATAAGTCACCAAGAAAAATAAAAAAAACTTATAGTAAATTTGCGATTGAAAATGGATCCTACAAAATCAAAGTTAGTGTAAGCACAAAGCTCAAGAGAGGAAGTCGAAGAGAACAATAGAGCATAATCAAGAGTGTCTCATATATAACAAATAATATGTAAAAAAGTTGTCATATGAACAAAATGAGGAGTACTAAAAAATTGAATGACTTGATGAATACTATAAGTAATGTCTGACTGGCAGAGATGGTCAAATAAATCAATCTTCCAACTAACTGCTAGTAAAATATAAGATCAAGAAGAAGCTCAGTATCAACAGAATGAAGGTTGACATTCAACTTAATAGGTGTGTCAACACGCTTGATATCATCATTTAAACGAGCTCGAGAAACAACGTCAGTAGCACACTTACATTGAGAAAGCAAATATCCCCAAGATGAATAAGCAACTTCTAGGCCCAAACAATTCCTTACGGATCCCAAATCTTTCATTTCAAAAAGCTTACTTAGTTGCTGCTTAATTAGATGAACTGCACCCTCTTCATCACTAAAAAATAATCATATCATCAATATAGAATAGAAGAATTGTAAGTCTTCTAGCTGTGACTAAGACAAAAATGGCAGGGTCATGATGACTCTGTAAATATCATGTGGAAATAACAACAGTATTGAATTTACCGAAACAAGCATGAGGAGCATGTTTAAGCGTATAGAATGTGCATCATAAACAATAGACTCTATTATCAAGATCTGAAATCCCATAAGGTAACTTCATATAACCATCCACTGCAAGATCTCTATCGAGAAATGCACTTTTGACATCAAGTTGCCATTATTGAATGATAGCCCTAGAAATCAGGGTGTGAGTTGTAGTAATGTAAGAGTAAAAGTTTCAAGAAAATCAATTCCGAAGTGTTGATTACAACCTTTGCCCATAAGTTGTACTTTATAATGCTCAATACTTCTATCAACTTTAGTTTTAATCTTGTACACCCATCGACAACTAATGCCATGCTTCCTTTTGGGAAGAGGAAAAAGGTCCCAAGTAACCAATTCTTCTATTGCATGTTGCTATTCAGGTTGTTTTGTAACTTCGCTATTAGTTTGCAGCTTAGAGAAAGAATAAACATAAGTTACAAAAGCCTAATGTTGAGATAAAAAGGTTTCATAATCAATGAAATGAGAAGGTAAAACAAAGACGAGTACTGCTACATACTTAAGGCATTTGCACAAGAGCAGCAGGTGCATGTTCTTGAATTGGTTCATCAACAATAGTTGAGTATTTTACCATTTGACCATCCACAAGAGGTGATATTAGAGAACTGGAGAACAATCATTAGAAAAAGGAGCAAGAAAAGAAGTG